TATTCTGTAATACACTTTAACGCGATTTATAACGCATTTTCTTACGTTATGTAAAGAAACTGTAACGCGACTTGGTGAACAGCGTTAGACTTCACAACACATCGTACAATTGTACAAGTTGTTGACAGCTAGATTATAGTTCTATTTTATAATCAATAATGGCTGCTGCTGCTGCTGCTATGATATTGGTGGACCTATTAGAAATGGTAGAAGAAGAGGAGATAATGAGAGAAACTGCTATGATAATGAAAACGTTGAGAAGTACTATACATCCTTTCGACTTGACAGATGAGCAATTTGTAAAAGTCTTTCGCTTGTCAAAAGAAGCAGTGCATTATTTATGTGATGCTCTTCAAGAAACCCTGCAGCGTAGACGAAGAACAGGATTAAGTGTAGAAACTCAGGTGATTACGTGCATTGCAAATATAATATATTTTATAGCATCGTGATTAAAGTATCTTAGTGCAATTAACACAAAGATTGTAATGGTTATAGATTTTTACTGCATTGCAGTTTTTTGCTACCGGTTCCTATCAGAAATGTGTTGGAAATGATTATTTGACGTCAGTGTCACAACCTGCTGTTAGTCGAGCAATTAAAGCAGTTGCAGTTAGTATTACTGAATTACTTACTCATCAATGGATTCAGTTCCCAAGAACCGAGGAAAAACGAACAGCTTCAAAAAGACGGTAATTTCGTAATTATAATGTTTTAATTAATTTTACTATAATTATTAGTCTTGTTTACGGGATGACTTGATATACATTCCATAACATTGAGATACAATGTTACTGCTAGTTTGCATTTACTGAGTATATTGCATGTGATCTACTCGTTGTAAAATACCTAATATTCTTACAGCTTTCAAGAAGCAAGACAGTTTAAAGGAGTTATAGGCTGTATCGATTGTACTCACGTTGCTATTGTGAAACCGAGTATTCATGAGGAAGTGTATTCAAATCATAAGGGTTTTCATTCCATCAATGTGCAAGCGGTAAGTTAACAATAAATTGCAATATTGTTTTTGTTAATGCATATATTGCGCTACATACGATCAAATATAATTAATGTGTATTAATATTTGTTACAAGGTGTCCTCGCATGATTTAGAAATATTGAGTTTAAATGCCAGATTCCCGGGAACAGTACATGATAGTTTTATATGGAGACATTCAGCTGTGAGAAACGAAATGATACGTTTGTATGAATCTGGAGATCAAGCAACATGGCTTTGAGTTAGTATTATGATTGCAGTTTTGTATACATTATTGGCAATTACTGAATGGTGTTTTAAGATATTTATAAATTAATTGGTGACTACAGGCGATTCAGGATATGGTCTCGAACCGTGGCTTATGACACCCATAACACCCATAATGCACCCGAAGGAAGCGCAGAAGCACGATATACACTATGTCACACCGCAACCAGAAATTGTGTGAAAAGGATGTTTGGAGTATTAAAATGTGTATGGAGATGTCTTCTACAACACTGTGTGCTGCATTATAAACCTCTCATCATATATAATAACAGCATCTGCTGTTCTACACAATATACGACTCCGCTATAACATCACGGATCTGGCATTCGATATTGATGAAGAGGATGA